TAGTTTTATAATAAACTAAGAGCAAATGGAACTCTTAAAAGTAACTATCAAAATACAATATCTTCCATATTAATATCTCAAAATCGCACCGTATATTCTTAGTGCGGTATCAACCCATTCGTTACATTATGAAAGAATTTTTCTTAAATCGGGGAAAAGCACACAAAATATTCATGCTACGATAAAGATTTTCATTCGCAATAGACAGTACGGTTTCCACACAATCTATCGTCGGTATAAAGGAGCTGTTAAAGACAATATTCTTGGAAACATATTGGATGCAGCTCGACGAATGTGTAAGCGAGCGCGCGACGACCGCTAGGTTAGTGGCACACCTGGCATTAGTTATAATTTTAAGGGTTAATTAAACTATAACTTACTTCGTCTTTGCTTAATTCAAATTTAATTTATTTATTATTCAGCATTTACTTATTACATTTTTAATGAATGTATGAGACTACCGAAATCTATAAAAAAATGAAATGCATAATTCTTCAGAAGAACTGCAGAAAGAATTCTTCCAATATTTATGTATTTCTGCAATTAATGCTATATATACAATAACCAGTTAACTAACTTAAAATAGCTTGAACGCGATCACAATATCGCCACATAGATTTAATCATTTATATTAAATACGTATTACGCATTAAAATTCCAAATATCTTATATTCTTTTTAACTATGACTTGAAGTAACACAGATCGCATTCTATTGGACCTACAGAACCTTCTTAGATTTACGCGAATGTTTGATATTTTAAATAAAACTCTCCCGTGGCCATGATTGCTGTAAAACATACTAAACATCGGCAACCAAAAATCTAAATAAATCGGCGAATAAATCCGGAATGATAGTTATATTTATTATTTTAACGTTAAAAATATTGATTAATTTAATTTTAAGACGATTAGATGCACTCGGTGTGTCACAACATTTAGTGAGCGATAAATCCGTAGCTACATCTGGGCAGGCGCTCGATTCAATTTTATTACTATTCTCCCGGGGACTTATTTGATTCGCGTCAAAGCGAGCCGAGACCTCGGTTACATTATCGACTTGGTACGACTTGCTTATCTATCCCGAACGATCTTATACAGTTCTCAGATTAATCTATTCTTTATACTTTACAAAGAATCTTTCGACTAGTTAGCGTTTCTTAAATACGTATAGACTAAGGCTGTGGTAAAACATGGTATAAGTTAATACAGTCGCACGTTCAATTCCTGTGTTGAGTAAATATTTAAAATACAAAATGTATGGAAATATATATGGAATAAACATAAGATACATGAACTAAACTATTTATATACTGTGAATGATTTACTAAATCAGTGTATCATGTTCATTTTTACTATAATAATAATCTATATATATATATAATAAAAATGTTACTGATATCTGTCTGTACATAGAAGTGTGAGAAAAAGTACCGTTGGGAGTCTTTATTAACGCAATAAAACACCAAAAAAATATTTTTAGAATTTTTGTATGGTTGTCTTTGCGTTTGTGCGCGCTAATCTCAGAAACGACTTAACCGATTGAGTGCAGTTTTACCCATATATTATAGTACGTTTTACTTAATATTTAGTGTTTGTTTTATTTCAATCGGTTTATAAATAAAAAAGTTGTGTCAATTTAAATAATCATCTATGGACGAGCCCGAGCGAAGCGAGGGAGAGTCGACAGTTATCAAAATATATTCATAGAAAATTGACTCATAGAGAGATTGAATTTCATAATAGGAAAGGGAAAAGTCTCCCATGGGATAAGCTATAGAAAAAGAATGGTTTCATCAATTTAAACAGCACTTTAACTGGTTGGTAGCTGATTTCATTGAAAATGATAAGGGCTACTTGTATATTGGAAATACAAGAATTTACTTCGCGAAGTAAAATAAATACTTTATTACACATACAGAAAAGGTAAATAATTAAAAAAAATACAACAGGTATACAAATGAGATGATAAAGCTACGACGAATCTCTGACTTTTGGTTAAAGAATTTATATAAATGGAAATGGAACAGTTCTAATTCAATTATCAAGGAATATATATATCGTATTCAGCCCTTTTTAACGTCCCACTGCTGGGCACGGGCCTCCCTTCAGTATGATGGTCATAGTCCACAACACTGGTCAAGTGCGAGTTGGCGGACTGCACAATATGTGTTTTGAAAACTTGCTAGATTCTTTCAAACATGCAGGTTTCTTCACGGTGTCTTCCTTCACCGTTTCTTAACGTGGCAATCATGTTGGAAATTATTCGCACATAAAAATATCAGCGGTGCAAGACCCAGAATTTGAACCCGCTGCACTCGGTTTCCCAAGCGAGCATGCTACCACTGGGCTACCACTTCCTTAAACATATATTATAATAATATATATATAAATTGTACATATTTAATAAATAACATAATACATAGACCCACCAAAAACGAAAGTTATATGAGAGTATATGAAAGTCATAGAATTTAGAGAGGACTAAAGCAATTTAAGTATTATAGTCTCAATTAATTATTTCAATAAAATCCTAATAGTACCAAATGAATTTTTAAGATACATATTAAAATTTTAACAAATTATAAATATAACAGTATAAAATATTTAAGTAGGTATTGCCCTTTTATTTCAACTGAAATGAAGTGAACAGAGCAAGCATTTATGTAAATATAAAGTTGCCCATAAAATTTTACATCTCACTTTATTATATGCGAGCATTATTTTATGAATATTTGTTACTTTTATTGTGACGTTTCATATTTCGCCTCGTTATATAAAATAAATGATCGAACAACTGTCTGTTTATTTACTGTGTATTGAAAGAATATGATATATATATTGAAGTAACTACGGACAAAACTGTCTATTTATTATACATATAGAGACAAAAATTATCTTGTCGCAAGTATAAATAAATTGCATACAAATAAATACCCCCCGTATCAAGAATGAAAAAATCGGTCAAGTGCGAGTCGAATTTGCACACGAAGGGTTTCGTACCATTATACATGTACTTTTTATTAATATGACTTTTACTCTAGGTATGTAGTATATTAACTTCGATGATCGATTACGAATGTTAGGAAAATGTTTCTTATACATTTTTTAATTTTTATTTCTTGTTATAGGGGCAATAGAAATACATACTCTGTAAAATTTCAACTCAAAACTATTGCGGTTCATAAGATACATAAAAAGGTTAAATATTCATCAAATGATGAGGTCTAATGTTCATCTAGAGAATAATGAAAATGGTAGAAACAAAAGAAATATTATGAAGAAAATTTTGCACTTGCCACTATTTTTTTGTCTGACTATCCCAATAGTAGGTTATATATACAATACTAGTAAATATAAAATAAGCTTAGTGATACGAGTATAAGTTAAGTTGAATCTTTTCATTAAATACTTTTTGGAAAATCTTATTGAATTAGT